ATTCGTAGCAATTTACAAATAGATTATTGTTTAACACTTGTTATGTTAATCCTTGTTGAAATTTGTAGCAATTTACAAGTAGGCTAGACCGAGATCACCGTTTAAACACTTGTTGAAACTTGAGAAAAAGTTTACAAAGTTAACATTGAATAGTATATGTTTCACACTTGTTAGAATTTATGAAAAGTTTGCAGGTCAGTATCTTGCCGAAGTAAAAGTTTTGTAGCTATTATACCCAAGGTATGTAACCCCGAGAAGATCACACAAAGGAGGCAAAGTATGAAAGACATGCACAATATTCTAAGTATAGAATCATGCAAGAGTAGTTAGAAGAAGATCAAGACAGAATTCATGGTGATTGACACGCCCTCGCCATACAATATCATCTTGGGAAGGCCATGGTTGCACACAATGGGGGCAGTTCCCTCAACATTACATCAACTACTGCGGTTCCCAACAGAACATGGGATTGAAGAAGTCAGAGGGAATCAACTGCAGGCGGAGAATTGCTCCATGGCAGCAATGAAATCCACCTGCAGCATTCGAGAACCAGAGAATGCAGAGATTGAAAACGAGGACATAGAGGTCCTAGATGATGTGGACAAGGAGCCAACCGAGAAGAGTGAAGAGGCACTGAATAAAATCCTCGTCTAGGAGGGGGACGAAGAACGCTTCTTTCTTCTCAAGCTTAGTCGAAGAAGAAGAAATAGAACTTGAAGCTTGTTTGAGAGCAAACATTGAGATATTTGCTTGGACACCTTATGAAATGCCTAGCATTGACCCCGAGGTCACATGCCACAAATTGAACGTCGACAGGTCGGCCAAACCTGTAATCCAACGAGCAAGAGGGCCAACGTTGATGCACGCCGAAGCAGTAGAGGAAGAAGCAGACAAACTTCTGGAGCTCAGGGAAATCCGAGAAGTCAATTACCCGACATGGCTATCAAATACAGTGGAAAAAAGAATGATAATCAAAAAGCAAGGGATGTTAACATCGGCCAACAACAAACATTTTTTAGAAGCAAAAAAGGTGACATATGCAAAGAAAACAAAAATACAAAGATGAAGACCCTAAGAACTAGGGGCTAAGGCAAGAACGTCGGACTAATCTACTTCAAACGGTTGACGGTGGTTCAGCATTGGCAATCAGCTGGAAAAGCTTCTCTACCACTATCTCGGCAACAATTTCAAGAAGGGACGTGGTTCTAAGACTATGCAGAAACAGAAACGAAGGCAAGAATCTGGAAATACAACAAGAAAAACAAAAGAGAAAAAACAGAATCAAGAAGATGACAAAGTTCAAAGAATAAAGCCACGTACACAGGCACTAAGTAAGTATGTGAAGAACAAGAAAGTAATGAACCAGACATGATGCTAGCAACAGAAAGCGGATATGACAAAGAACAGTTCCAGGCATTTTAGCAATAAGAAATCAAAAACTTGAAGACAGACGAGAACAGAAAGCCATAGATGGCAAATAAACAGATTTAAAGTAAATCAGAAGAGTTATGAAAGATTGAGCTTAAAGTAAGAGTTTATGAGCCTACAAAGTGAAATGAACGTCGATATGAAAATCGTCGGAGTCAAATAGGTGACTGGAAATCGGGAACTCACCAGAGAGTGTGAGTGGAGCAGTTGCAAAAACTCTTGGAATTTTCGAATTAATGGAACCAGAACCTCGGCTAGGAGGTGCGATTTCAAGCAGCTTGGAAAGCATGAAACTTGATTCTTGACACCGGTAGACAGTAAAGTCCAGAAAACTTTGAGGTCGGCGAGTTTGATCTCGGACAGAGGGGCACAGATGAACGAACAGTGTAGGTTCCATCACCTCAGAATGCTGAGGTAATAGAACCTAGGGGGCAATTGTGGGGATATATTTTCTGAGTACCAATACGTGGCAAGGTGACGCTGACGTGTCAGCCGAGATGCCACGTGTCTTGGTCGTTGTGCCGAGGTCATCTCGGCTAAGCCGAGGTTGCCTTCAAAGATATCGGAATCCGAGATAGGCGGATAAGGGACAAGAGTCCTAGAATGAAGAGGGAACTCAACTTGGATATGGACAAGAGTCCTAGATTGGGAGAAGACTTCAGTTTGGGTAAAGATAAGACTCTTAGAGAGTTTATCCTAATCCCACTGGGAGTCCCAGATTAGCAGTAATCCTAAGTCCATTAGGGCCAGGCTCCTTTTGGGACTAGGATTGTATTGGCTATAAAAGAAAGGCACCCCCATGGGTCTAAGGTATGCTTTTGAGACTCAAGCTTGTGAGTTTAGTACTTGATTTATTTTTGAGAGATATACTGACTTGATCGTCGGAGTGCCCCCGGGTGGTCGAAACCACCGCGGGATTCTTATATTTCTGTTACAGGTCAGTCGGGTGCCATCTATTCTGCCAGTGCTCTCTAGCTGGTTACTAAGCGGGCAGTGTAGTCGGAAAATCACCCACACAATGCTTTATAAATGAACAACTTAAATTATTAAAATGAAATTTGTAATGAATTCATGGACCAAGACAACACCCTCAATCCAAATTTGAACCGAAGAGGAGCCCGACCCTTTTTTTATAGTGGAAATATCAAATCAGTTGGAACAATGGAGAAATTATTACATTATAGATTAAATTTTTTATGATGCAACTTTGACACAGTGAGAAGTCACACCATGCACATCTATGTACCATATAAACAGTAAAATTACATTGTCATAAATATGTAAGGAAAATGTCTCGTAACTCAAATTTTGTGGCTCAAAAGTGACTCAAATGGTCAAAACGACGTCGTTTTGGCCATTTTTATTTTGTTCTGTACTCAAAACGACGTCGTTTTGGCCATTTGAGCCACTTTTGAGCCACAAAATTTGAACTACCTAGCATTGTCGAATATATAAATAATCTTTGACGGTCCTACTTATTTGATATTTTCCTTTTTTATATCTCCATACAAATAATTTTTTACTATCTCACTTATTTGATATTTCTCATTTTTAATATCCCCATTTTAATTTTTCACTCATGAGAGAATATGAGCATTGCATTGCATTGCGACCACAACAGTTTCCTAGGCATTTCATATATTTTTTTAGTTTTTTGATAGTTCGGTATCTAAATTATTTGACTGACTAATTTGAAAGACTAATTTTATCATTTATTTATGAGAATCCAATTAAAAATAAGGCAAAGTCTTGTAAGTACTAATCTCAAAAAATTATTTACATCTAAGAGATTTTGAACATGAGATCTTGGAGAGAGTACACTAACCTTAAGTCTTGACCACCCATCAATCCTTTGAAATTATTTTTTTAAGTTACAACATATTAAAAAAATCAAGAGAAACTAAAGATTAGTATAGAAGACCAAAAATAATTACAAATACATAGAAGATGTAACTTTTTCTGTGCAAAGAAATCACAACAAAAGTTGCACCTCTACCTTTTGATAAACAATTTTCTCACTTCCTACTATTTGGCAATTTCTCAAAAAAAATTATACTAAATGATACAATACTATTGTAGTCTATCGTTTCAAAATTAAAAAAAAAATCATCAAGAAATGTCTAATTACAAAACTACAAGTACCAAAAGTGGATTTGCAGCTTAATTTAACTTAACCTTATATAAAAAGGGTAAAGTATAAATACACTCTATTGAGATTTGATTAAGATACAAATCACCCTATATAGTTATAAAAATTACATTCCACCTCCTGAAATTTATAATTTCATAACAAATCGCTTATTTTATTAATAAATCATCAAATGAATTAACAGTTTTTAATAATGCTAAAAATATGTTTCAATTAACATTTTAAGTAATTTTATTATTGTATAGGAGAGTAATTATAAATTTTATTTTTTTAGTGACTTCTGTTAAATAAAATTTTTTAACATGAAAATATTTACAAATTTTCAAATCACAAGAACAATATATACTTTAAACAAACCGTAGAGATATATTTGTAATTTATCCTTATAAAAATTATCAAGTTCAAACATGGTAAATATTGACAGACCAAGAGCTCATTTTTTATTCTATAAGTGGTGAATCATCATTCTATTTCGAAAAAAAATCTAAGATATTTTTATTATTTTATTATTTTATAATTTTATTATTTTATTATTTTTAAAACATGAAAGGTTGTAGTGTGGGATGTGCATGTGCTCAACAAAACTAGCCACAATCTTCTTATCTTTTAAAAATGTATTTAGATTATAATTTTTTGAAAAAAAAAAAAAAAAAAACTATCTATTCTCTTTTCTTTTTTAAATTTCTATTTAAATCCCTGATCAAACACAGCCTTAAAATAGAAAAAAAGAGAACCATAATTGTAAACACTTGCTTAGTTGATAACACAATTAAGGGGTTCCATAATTAAATGTACTTTATGATGTTTATCACTAATCATATAAAAATAAAAATTAATCTTCAACTCTATAAAAAATATATTATTAAAATATAATTGGACGTTATTCACATGATACACATGACAAATAAAAAATCATAACTCATACTAATCCCTTGTCTTCCGTCTACCTAAAAAACGTGAGTCACTATAACTCGCACATAAAATTTTCCGTTACAGCATTAGTTTACAGCATTAGTTTACACCACCATGCCAAATGATACTCTAAAATTACCAAATAATTACCCAGTTTTGTATGATTTCTATGTTTCTAACATTTTTGCTTCTCTAAAGTTCATTCCATTAAATTGTGCCAAAATGATTAAAAAAATTAATGATTTAAATTTGATGCTGAAGCGTAAAAGACAAAATGAGATTTATAATTGAAAAACATTAATCTAAAAACCCTCTTCTCCTCCAAACATATTTGAGAAACTAAAAACCCTCTTCTCCTCCAAACATATTTGAGAAACTAAACGTGAAAACTAAAATTGTTTGAAATAAATTAAATAAGTACACTTTTTAATTTTTTATTAAATATAAATTAAATATAGGTTGAGCTTGAAGTGATATAATAGAGAGATAATGTGACTTAAATGAGATGATATGACTTAAATAAGATAGTGACTTTTTGATTTTTTTTTATTATGTCAAACCAAACCTCAGTTTGTCCATCAAAAACACATTAAAGCCTCTCAACCTCAAACAATAATATTATAGCTCATGCATACATCTTATAAAATTAGAATTCTCAGCAATGGCAAGAACTCACGTAAAACATCTAGCCCGTGAATTGCCAAAAATTTGAAGCATGGTGCTCAAGCCGCGAACCAAAATCGCAGAAAACACACTTGCAAATGTATCTAACCATCAATGCCTAAAGTGCCTCACATTAGTGAAGAGAAGCGAAACCCCATACTTATTACAGCAGTCTATAGCATCCCCATCTCTAATGCTCCCTCCAGGCTCCGCTATCACACCAATTCCGCTCTCACATGCTTCTTCTACTGCATCTTTCCAAGCTGCATGTAAACAACTCCCAATTAGGTGCATTGCAATTTGCATTTCTGTATTTACTTTCACTTTTTGGCAAACTGAATTTATTTTAGGTTTTGTGCTTATCCCATAACATTGCATTAGTAACTCCATCACTATGCATCGTTTGTTAATGCTTTCGTTTTATGTTTTCATTATTTTTTCTGGAAACTAAAAACAAAAAACTTGGTTGGTATATTGCCTTCGTTTTCCCTTTTTTTTTTTTTTTTTTTTAGGTACAATGGAAAGTATATTGCCTTGGTTTTCAAAATGGTGGAATTGATAAGAAATTTTTCAAGATTTTTGGAAACGAAGGGCTTGTTTTCAAAACAAGTTTTCTCCCTTTCTCACCACCCACTGCCGGTGACCCTTCAGCGAACCCCAGAGACTCTCCGGCCAAATCCAGTGATTAGGTGTCCGGTGACTCTACCGACCACCCTGAGACTCCGGCCAGCCCCACTGCCAGCTACCATCTCTAGCAACTCATCAAATTTGTTTATTTGTTTTCGGGTTTAGGGTTTGATTTGTTTTAATTTAGCTTTCAAAACATTTGTGCATACTTGAGTGTTTTTTATTTTAAAGATAACCGACAACATTATCGAAATTCTCCTAAATTTATAGGTAAATTATTAAAAATGTAAATTAGTAAGATTTTTAGTATAATTACCAAATGGAAAGAAGGCATCACTAGCCAAAGCTGCTCCTTTGACCTTGTCTCCCGCTTTCCTCAGAGCTATCCTCAAACTCTCGAGACGGTTTGGCTGTCCACTTCCCATACCCAACATACAGTTGTCCTGCTCCAATAACGACCACAATCACAAATGTACCCCGCCGTGAAATTCATTCAGAAGCGTTTTTATAATTTAAAAATGCAGACAAGTACTAACCTTAGCAATTACAATGGCATTGCTCTTAACATGCTTCACACATAGCCAAGCAAACTTTGCATCACGAAGCTCACTTTCTTGTGGATTCTTCTCAGAAACTACATTAAATTGGATATTTTCTGGTGTTAAATCATCTGAATCCTGAACCAACAAACCGCCACCGATTTGTCTAAAAGAAAGCTTTCCTTTCTCATTCTTGCTTGCCTCGAGGATTCTCAAAGTCTTGGACTTTCCACGGAGGATCTCAAGCCCCTTTTTTGAATACTTGGGTGCAATGACAATCTCATAAAACATCCGAGTTTCACCATCTGTTGGACTTCTAAACTCTCGAATATCCTTTGCAAGATCCTTCAAATACAACAAAAGAGGGGAGAAAAAAGATAGGTGCATGAAAAACAGTGCAACGCTTTCCTATATTAACTTCTTCCGAAAGTCAAGGTCCACATGATATTGTACCACATTAAGGTATGAGAGAGAGCTTCTATAGATCAATGATACTAAGGGCAGTGCCTCATAGAAAATCATGTTTGGTTCCTGCCTAAGAAGCATGGACATAGACAAGTGACACAACACAGACACATTGACATGAAAAATTCAAAAAATGTAGGACAAAATATGTGTGGATACATGCAAATTATATAGTTTTTTATATTTCATGACATATATAAGGAAAATCAATTATGATAGGTTATACATATGAATCTTTAACTAAAAAATGATAATTTTTGAAATCTAAAAGAGGAGAATATGTACAAATTGATATTGTTATTCTTTCAACATTGAATTCCAAGTAAATTTATTCAAACTTGTAATGTAACAAAAATGTGTGTCTTAAGCGTCTTTGAATCTATAAATTTTTTAAAAATAATTGGACATATTTTGACGTGTGTCTGATAGGTGTTAGGAGCGTTGTGTCAGTATCCAAAATGGTGTCGAACACGACACACCACCTTGTTAGAAGTGTCCATACTTCTTAGGTTCCTTCTTTTTGGTGAAAGAAGGCAGTTCTCCTGCCTTGATGTGGTCCAATGTGATTCACAATTTCATATACTTGTGTAGCTCATACTTCGAACCTCAACTAGCAAGTTAGAAACCAGTTTACCTCGTCAACTTCTGTGTTGAAGGCAACAATACCACCGAATGCACTCACTGGATCTGCTTTAACAGCCAATCTGTAAGCTTCAATGATATCATCACGTGAAGCTACACCACAAGGATTTGTGTGCTTTACAATTACACAAGTTGGATTATTAAAGTCGCACACACAATTCCAAGCTGCATCAGCATCTAGATAGTTATTATATGACATCTCCTGCACCAAAAAGAATGGTAACAAATCCACTTGAGTTCAAACATCATAGAAACTCGCTCCTCTAATTATGGAAGATATGGACATGGAATAAAATAACAAGCAACAACAAAGAGCAACAATGAAGTGTTCTAAGTTGGAAAAATTACAATAGCAATACAAAATATTGAAAATTAACCCTGATTATGATAGTGGCCTGTTCTCTCTCAATTTAATTTCAATTGGTGCTAATCCTATCATTGAACGAATATATTCATGTCCAAGTCTAATTTAGTAACAAGAATCTCGCAGATTATATCCTTGAATGGAATAGTGTGCATCTAAGCAACATATAATTAGTTATACAATTTATTGGTGATCGAGATGTGGCTGAGAAAATAATTGAGATCATAAATACAACTAACATTTCGCTTGCTCACCTTCCCATGGTGCTGAATAGCAGATGCAATACCACCAGCATTAACCTCAGAGAGTCTCTTATCCACATAAACTGCAGCCTTTTGATGAGGATTTTCACCATAACGAAGTGAAGATTTGAGCGAGAGAGGCACTGCAAAGCTGGGAGGATACTCGCCTTCCAACACATAGAGTGAACAAAAGCATAAGTATTAGAGCAATGGAAATTCACATGAAATTGAATAACTAGATTTGAATTTCATTAAAATGACTAATTACACTGCAAATCATTTAGAATGAGTTTACATTCCCTATATGTATTTGACATTAGATAAGGTCAATTTGGGATCTCAAAGCTTCTAGTGATTTTTTAGATGACTTACTTGATGACCTTGTGCAATTAACTGACATCATATCATTACAATGACATTTAAATGCCTCATTATGATAGTCTTATGAACAGCTAAAACATGTGGAGTGAGTACCTCCAACAGTCGGCTGCTTCCACAGCCACTCACTAACTGCACAATCATATAAACCAGAATGTTGAAAAGCCTTCCAAGCAAGCATCATTCGGAACTCCTGGTCATCCTGATTTCCTTGAAGAAATTCTAGGAGTCTAGGATAGTCTTGTGAATCAACGACAACCAAGACATCTTTGTGATTCTGTTCAACATGCAAGTGTTGTTAGTTGGAATCTGAAAGTAAGTAAGAAAAGAACATTAACTATTAGTACAGGCATATAAAACACCACTAAATATCACATTTGGGTTATGTTTAGTATGGTGTTAGCAACAAGAGTATACGGGCTTCTGTCTTGCGCCAACACACGGTCGGGTTCTTGCACATTGGTTGAAGGCTGCAAAACTCAAAACCAAACAATTGAAATAGCTTTACCCCATGATAAGTATTGGAGTTGAGAATATAGCTTGACACAATGAAAAATTTTGGGGTTGAGAATAAATCAATTTATTCTAATGTCTAAGGAATGACTTGAGAATTAAGATAGTTGTTTTTGTTCTTTGCTTTTGTGTTTTTGTTGGATCAGTGATTAATGACTAGAAATATACATAACTGTAATGCAAAAGTGAGGTTAAACATAGAAATACAGTAGAAAGAGTGGTATATTCCTCAAAAAAAATAATACTAAATGTAACAATTGTCAATAAAAACAACCTTTGCAGCGGCTCTAATCATGGTTGGACCACCAATATCAATGTTCTCAATTGCATCATCAAATGCTATTCCATCAGTAGAGGAAACTTTCTCATAGAAGGGATATAAGTTCACCACCACCACATCAAAAGTACCTGCAAAAGTACTATTTTAGAAATAGCTACAATTGTACCAAATAAAAAGTGACTAACATCAAACTCGGGCCACATATGTTGTGTTGGCTTGGAAATAGGACTAGATAGGATATTTGCATCCTAGCCTACACTAAGACTAGTTCAAAGCTTCTAAAATTACCTGGATATAAAATTCAGTCCATATGACCCATATAATGAAAGTAACAATTCCCGCACTAGGTCGGATTGGGTTATTGCAGCCAGTGGATTTCCACTGTGTCCTTCACGTATTATTGAATGGTTGCCCACACCAAGTTGTGGACCTTCTATTTTCTTTTCTTTTTTTTCTTTTTTTTTTGTGATTTGCAGTTGTGGACATTGTGGTGTAACATTTCATCAAACTCATAAATTGTACACATCCTTGTGCTTCACTCTAAATCATTGTAACTAATATAAAAATTTTATGATTTAATTTAAAAATGTTACCCGTGTTTCAAACAATATTGCACTTCCATACTCAATTGACATGAAAATATTTCCTGTAATAATTTATGTATTATTGATTGTTGTATTGATTGATCTATATTACAAATGGTGAGTGGCTCATTATATAGGAGAGGGTGAGTGTAGTAGGTGAGGAGTAGGTGAGGAGTAGGTGGTGGTAGGTGATGGTAAATTGGTGGTAGGTGATGGTAAATTCTAACAGCCCCCGCAAACTCAAGGAGGATAGAAACTAACCAACTTGAGTTTGAAGAGAGGAACAAAACAAGAAAATACATAAAGAAAAGAGATAGGAGACACTGTATGGTCGTGTCAGACCATTGGTGAAGACACTGTATGGGGTGTCATAACGTTGTAGAGGACACTGTATGGTGGTGTCATAACGTTGTAGATGACACTGTATGGGGGTCATAACGTGGTAGAGACACTGTATGGTGGTGTCAGACCGATGTAGAAGACAGTTTATGGGGTCATGTCGGACCGTTGTAGAAGACAGTTTATGGGTCATGTCGTACCCTTGTAGAAACTAACGCGAATCAATGTCGGGACAGTTTACAGAGTCTGTCGGACCCTTGTAGAAACTAACCGGAATCAATGTCGGGACAGTTTACAAAGTCTTGTCGGACCCATGAGGAAGCTAACCGGAATCAATGTCGGGACAGTTTATAGAGTCTTGTCGGACCCTTGGAAAAGTGACACCCTCAAAAGGTGTGCCCAATTTTATCAAAAGGGTGCCATCAAAAGGCGTGCCCAATTCATCAAAAGGTGTGCCGGACATGATGGCGAGGCACGTGGGCGCCTTGGCTTGCGTGCCCTTTGTCGGCTGTGGTAGAGGGCGCGCGATGCGCGTGGCTGCCTCGGCTATAAGACGGAGGCTGAGGCTAGGCTGAGGCAAAAAACCTGCGAGAGATATTCTGAGAAGAGATTCTGTAACACTCTGTTTTCTGAAGAGATTCTGAAGAGATACTGTGTAACACTCTGTGCTAGAAAATGGCTTCATCGTCTTCCCCGGGCTGCTCACCCTCTTTCCCGACCTCAACGAGTCAACGAGAGAGAGAACTGGTGCGGTGGCACTGGAAACTCAACCAAGCGCCCCGGAGTTTGCTCCGTTGAACTTTCCGATGCGGTCGGTGGAGCAAAGAATGGCAGTGCAGTCAGATGTGGAGGCCAATCAGTATACTTTGAAGGCATGTGTGGAAAGCATGACGGCGGTCACAAATTTGTCGAACCGGCTGCAGAGTAGGACAAATGAGGTGCAGCATTAAACGCCAACTGGCTCTGCTCCAACGCATGTATAAGGATGCGCGAGCAGAGATAAGTGTGCTAAAGGCGGAAACAAGGAGCTGAAGCGGAAGGCCACCGTGATGTTCCGATTTGGAGGGCCCCATATGCTGCAGTGGAGGAGCAGGGAGTAGTGATCGTGCCCAGTGGAGTGGGAAACACGGAGGCAACACGTCAAGGGTCGCTCAGGACGAGGCAAGAAGAAAAGACCGGCGGAATAGGGAAGAAGTGAGGTCGGTTGTGGCGGCTGCAGAAAAGAAAACAAAGCCTTGTTGTGTTGTTTTTTATGTTTTTTTTTTTTGTAAAATTGTGATCGGGGTTGAGCCCCGGAGATGAATAAAGCAAGTGTGTTGTGCAAACTCGAATGGTAGGTGTGGTAATGCAGAAAAATCAACTGGAATAATTTTATTTATTTATTTATTTTTTATTTTTTTTATTTGTTATTTGTTATTTGTTATTTGTTATTTTTTTTTATTTTTTTTATTTTTTTTTAGAATGAAAAAATGAAGAGAAAATAAAATAAATAAAGGGGTAATGGAACCCACGTTGTTGTGCAAACCAACACATGATGGTGTCAGCCATTATACCTAAAGGGGGTAGTGATAGATTAAACAAATATGAAGATATGATGAGGGGGATGTGAAGATGTGGGCTGGTATAGTGATAGGATATATGATAAGAAAAAAGAGAGGTGTTTGGCGTGGTGTGAACGTGGAGTGGTTGGGGAATATCAAGCAATAAAAAGATATATATATATATATATATATAAAATAAAGAAAGTTGGGGTGAGATGGAAAAGTATGGTTAGAGAGAGAGAAAGTGGGTGGCGTGAGGGTCAGGCCCATGTGGGGCAAGTGCTTTAGCAGATGGCGGAGGGACATGCCCATGTGGGGCAATTGCTTTAGCAGCAGTGATTCTTGAAGGTGCAGTGATTCTTGAAGTACCAGTATCTGGGCTTGAAGTACCAGGAGAGAGAACACCAGTGGATGGAGTGAGAGGCAATGGATGGAAAGAATTTCCAGATTTCCAACGTAACGAAGATAATCCTTCATCCATATGCAAGGCTCCACCAGTGACCAGTGGCATATCTGCCACACTTTGAGATGGAGTGGAGCTTAAATGGACACTAGTGATATCAGATTCAGTAGGCCCAGTGGAGAGACTCAGGTGCAAGTCAACCTCGGGCTGCATATCAGGTGCCCTCAGATTAGAGCTTACATGCTTCTTTGGGATGGAAATCTTCTCATTCCCAAGATGAAGAGAAAAGTCCAAGTCAAGATCCATAGAGGAATCCTCGTCAGTTTCTTTGGCTGAAGACACTGTAGTGCATGCGGTTGCTGAACTCCCCTTACTGTCCGAGGAAGAGTACGGGTTTACCAACCAAGGACCCTTGGTTCAACCTTGCGAAGAGTCGTAGGAGTAATCTTGATGGTTTGGGTGAATCTGGACCGTTGCTTCACGGGTTGGGTGATGAATCAGTTTGTTGAGGAAGGAGAGAGAGAATTAGAAAATTTGGGTTTGTCCGGCGGACGGCCAAGGCGAGGCTGCCGCCCGCCGGTGAAGCGGAATCACTAAATTCTTAACCTTGCTCTGATACCATGTAATAATTTATGTATTATTGATTGTTGTATTGATTGATCTACCATGTAATAATTTATATATTACAAATGGTGAGTGGCTCATTATATAGGAGAGGGTGAGTGTAGTAGGTGAGGAGTAGGTGAGGAGTAGGTGGTGGTAGGTGATGGTAAATTGGTGGTAGGTGATGGTAAATTCTAACATTTCCATATTACTCTCCTAACTTATTCTTTTTTTACCAATGGGTCCTGACATAATACCACCTAATATAATCCCTATCCAGTGTTATTAAAAGCAATAAGCGCACCAAGGCGCTAAGGTCTCCTGAGGCCATAGGCGCAAGGCGAGTGCAGGCTTCATCAAAGTAAGGCGCACCATGGCAGGTTGAAATAATATAATTTAATACAAGGCATATAAGCAAATAACTAACTGGTATAACATAAATAAAACGAAACATTGAACATTTTAAAAAATAAATACCAACAAATATCGCTATTTTAACATAGACAAATGAGTAATATTTCAAAGTTCAACAACGAATATCCATGATCTAAAGGTCAACTAAATCAACAATATTAGCATGTGTATTTGAAGGATATGATCTGCTATAGTTGACCCATGTAATTTTCAGTGGTCCAATTCGAATAAAAATAAATTATAAAAAAAAAAAAAAAAACCCTCAAGGCCTGCACCTTGGGCATAATTGTGCCTTGTTCCAATCGCGCACTTTAACCGTGCCTTAGTGAAGTCACCTTGCCTTGACCATTGCAAGGTGCAGGGGTTGGGCATGGCTGGGATTTGTGCCTAGGCGTGCTTTTAATAACACTGTCCCTATCTTACCCAATAGCTTTTAAAATTTTTAATTTTACCTTCTGTAACATTCAGTACACAAAAAGGGTTGATAACCATATTGTGGTGGACCATGTCCCAACTGTCGAATGTGTCAACTTCTATACTTCCCATTTTGTTAGAAAACTCATAAGTGGATTTTCCAGCAAAAAAAATTACAGCAGCCTCGAAAAACTAAAGTCAACAAATTTAATTGATCCATCTTAATGCGGTTGATCTACCTGCTAACCAAATATGGACTCAATCAACAAAATATTATAAGATGTAACAATAATACAATTCTCCCATGCCTCCATGATGAAAAATAGAGCTAACCAATTCCATGCTTCCTTAAAGCTTCCATATGATGATTTTGGTCTCTTTTAGCAAGAATACCACCATGTATATAAGGATGTAAAGTTTTTACACGACCATCAAGCTGTAAAAGAAAATGATTTTCCATAAGTCAGCAAATATAAGGCTCCACGCCATGAAACTTAAGCAGAAACAAAAACCTCATAGAAGCAGAATACATAAACTTCATAATAGCTCAAGGACCAAACTAAAGTAAAAACATCAGTGCATATACACTACAATTATGACCACACACACACACACACACCAAAAAAAAAAATTGTGTAACAAGCTCTCATAGAGAGCAAAAAAGGATAGAGTTGATTTTGTAGCTGACTTTATTCAATCTTTAATTTTTTATTTTTATAGTTATTTTTAAAAAACTAATAAATTATATATTTTGCACCTCCAACCTTCCATTACAGTGCACAAATTATGCCTCTTATTTTTTAAGACTGAAGGAAAAATTGACGGGCTCTCTTTTTGAAATTTCAGATATCATCTTTTATATAGTTGGAAAAATTCAAAGATCCCAACAAACTGAGATATGAGCAAACGTTACGGAATCATTTCAAGGGCAAAAATAGGGCTAATAGCAACAAAACAATCAGACACCAACCAACTCATTACAGAATAATTTCAAAGCAGGATCCATTCAATTACACACAAAAGAACAGGGCTGGTAGACAAACAAGATAGCCATCAACCTCTCAAGCTGGCCTTGGAAAGTTCCCTGGATAGGATTAAAGAGAGTTTAGATAATGGTGGAGTTGGCATGATGGCAGTGGCATGATGGAGGTGAGGTGATAGTGAAGAGCCGTGATCTGTTCCTGGTGGTGTGAGGTGGTGGCTGGTGGTTCTAATGGTTGCGGTGGCCATGAGGTGGCGGTGGGAGGTGGGTGATGGTAGTGCTGTGGGGTAGTGGGAGGGTGATGATGTTGTGATCCTAGGGTTGACAGAATGCGATAGATTAGAGAAAATAGAGAGGGAAAGAATAGAGTGAAAGAAACAATGATAGAGATGGACATTGATCGATAATAAAAGGGTAAAATGTCATTTAACTATTTCAATTAACCTTACAAATAGACAAACACTAACAGAGAAGGTCAATTTAATTTTCAAAACTTGAACTGTATTAAACCTAAACTTCAAGGGTGTCAATTTGCCAAAATAAATAAAACCAACTTACCATTTCTGGAAAACTAGTAATTTGTTCCACCTTAGTGACAGAGACACCAGCAGCCTCCAAAGCTGATGCTGTTCCTCCAGTTGAAACAATTGTGTATCTACAGGTCACACGAAACATTATTACAAGTGTCATTACACGCTGAAAACAACTGCATGAATAAATGACAATACCAAGCAAGCCCATATAAAAATTAATAATTTCTCTTTTTAAATATTGGTATCGTATCCAATACTTTTTTATAAAAAAAATGGTGTCATACTACTAATTTTATTATGCCAGCATATTTTGAAAGAGCAATCGATCTAATGTTGGACTAGTTTCACCATAATCACCAGACATGTTCTATAACTTCATTAAATGCTAACTTATCTGAACACAAAACCTTTTAAAAAATAAATAAATAAATAATAAAAAAAAAAGGGGGAAGAAGAAGAAAAGATGAGCTATATGTTACTGATCCAATTTTTCTATACAACACTACTCATTTTTTATCAAATAGGAAATACATGTCTTTGTCTAATTATATACAATCTAGTGAATGAATGGGGAAGAGAGAGAGAGAGAGAAGAAGACCTTAGAGTCAATGACGTCAAGAATACTACGTCACAATACCTTTTTTCATCAACAATATGATGTCATTATGCCTTGTTTTATCTAAACAAAAATCTTAACAAATAATAAATGGGAGCAAACTCAAACAAGCATCTCAATGGTGCTTTCATAACACCTTTCCTAAATGTTATGAGAAATGAATATACTGAAAATACTGTACTAAAAATCAAAACAGCTACAGTAATTGTGGGATTGATTACGAAGCAATGTAAGAAAATTCAATGAATTTTTGACAGAGGGAGAGTTTTGAAATCTCACCCTAACGCCTGAAGTCCACGGCCAAGCAAAGCCAAATCCTTTTTGTCTGATAATGATATTAGTGCTCGTTTGATGCCTGAAATAAGTGAACACCCAAATAAGAGAGAAACTGTGGAAACCAAAAAAATATTGAACAAGAAACAGTCAAAGTAGGCTTTAACTGTTAACGATTTGGAGAACCACCTCCAATTAGAGCATATTAGCTGAAATTAAAAACTTTAAAGATAGTTTATGGATGAAATAGAAAAAATAATGATAGTTTAAAGTGAAATTAACCCTAAATATACAGATTATGAAAAGACACAACACAACCCATATCAACAGATCATCTTACCTGTCAAACTACTTGTAGTATAATAATTTTTTTATTGCAATTGAGCCCAAAAAAAAGCAGAAATATTACCAGAAGCAGAGGCTTGAGAATCTTGAGAATCGGGATTTTGGGACTCTGCCATAGCTTTAATCGGAGGAAAAATTGAATGAGAAGACGGCGTTGATGAAAAAAACCTCTTAGAACACTAAACCAACAAGACAGACAAAAATGCAAAGAAATCAGAGAAGAAAAAAACAGAAATTTCACATAAATCTTCATACAAGATTTGTAATTACCGGTAGAATCGGAGAATTGTAGGGATGAAGAGAGTTGGGAATGGGAGTCTGAGCCAAGAGCACAGCGGTATTGGTGACACAAGTGTTTGACGCAGTGGCAGCCGCAAACCCCAACATGTTTCAACAGAAGAGCCAATAAACTCTCTCAGTGTTGGATGATTTAGGGTTTAGAGGAAGACGAGGAGGAGGAGGAGACTCAGGTACCTGGAGGGAGCTGGAAGTTTGACTCGACTTCCGTCAATGGCGGAGAACTTCGCCGGAAAAAGGTAAAAGAAAGACCTTCACTCTCCACAGTGAAGCGCAAAAAAAAAGGACAAGCCTGTTGAAAATATAAAAAATAGTGGGGGTGGTGTGAGATGTTATAAATAGGCGTATGGTTTGATTTTTTTTTATAGAGCGGTGATTAAGACCTCTAATAATGCGCAAGGATCCTCTAGAGTAATCCTCTAGAGTGATCTCCTAAAGTGGATGATCGGACGGTTGATCTTAATACTTACCAAAACGACGTCGTTTTGGTGAGTATTTTGAAAAAAAAAATCAACAATATCTGGGTTCACTTTCACTCTGTTCTGGGAAGAGTTAGAGAGAGAGAAGGGACCAAAGCTTTGATTTTGCTTTGTTCTTTCATGTCCTCTTGAAATCTCACGGTTGAATAGTAGTGATGGAGAGATCTGAAAGACTTCCTCCGCCGATCGTAAATCTACGATCAATTCTACAAATTTTCTCGTTGTTTTGGAGGGATTTGATTTGATAGAAGAATTCTCTGCAAATTTCGATTCGACGAAGCTCTTTTTTCTATAAGTTCATCTTCAATCTCTGCCTCTTATTGGGTATTGAACGTTGTGGTCCATTGCTGTTGGATTTTGCTGGGTTTTGTTTTTGGAGATCAGATCTGTGGCATTTAGGCTTGTTTCGATTGGGTATATATATATACATACATATATATATATATATATATGACGTAGAAGCCATTGCTGTTGGATTTTTCTGGGTTTTGTTTTTGGAGATCAGATCTGTGGCATTTAGGCTTGTTTCAATTGGGTATATATATATATATATATGACGCAGAAGCCAAATAAATAGCCCAAGTGTTCTCCTCCATAAATCTGATTTTTTTTTTTTTTTTTTCACGTTTTTTCTTCAATCTTTTGATAATGATGATGATACATATCTGAATCAATTTTATTATTGAATCGATTTGATCTTCTTTTTTATTGAATCAATTTCATTCTGTTCACATTTTTTCTTCAATCTTTTGATGATGATGATGATACAGATCTGAATCAATCTCATTATCGAATCAATTTAATCTTCTTTTTTTATTTATTTTGGTCTCACGGATCAAAATCGACGATGATGATATATTCTGAAGCTTCTTTGTCTTCAACTTTTTTCATTTTTTTTTTTCTCATTTTTTTTTAAAAATTTCCCCCACCAAAACGACGTCGTTTTGGTGAGGATTAATCTCAACGTTTGATTTCATTAATGGGACACGTGTCGAGCCTATGTCACTCACTTTAGAAGATCACTCTAGGGAGATCACCCCAGAGGATCTTAACGCTCTAATAATAGAGCTCTAATAAGAGCACTAGTGACGTGGCAACTTGGAAAAAAAAAAGAAAAAAAAAGGCCAAAACATCAAATCACATACTGGGACCCACAGATTAGAGCTCTTCTAGAGCTCACAATTTAGAGGTCTAAAGCATTTTTCTTTTTTATAAAAGACTGTGTAGAAAAGTAAGAAGAAATGTTAATCAGTATGATTTAAAAAAAGATACTAAAAAGATTGATTTAGATATAGAACTTATATCATGTGGATATAATTCTACACATATTTAGAAAATTTAGGCTTGGTTTTGGTATTTAAAAAAAAAAATTGAAAAATTATTTAAAATATTAAAAATTTATTACTATTTATTCAAAAAAAATTATTAAAAAGTTAATTTTACACCATCTTCCTTTTCAAACAATTCTGACGCATAGCAGGCGGAGCTGGTTGGAAAAAACTACACTTATTTAGATGTATAAATAATACGGTGTTATTCGGCTCGTGGGGGCCATCACGGGTTGTTTTTTAATAATCTGAACCGTCAATGTGTAGAACTCGTCGATTACTATATACCTATGAAAAATCATATTGATCAGATATTGGTAACTATATGATCAAATCAGTTAAAATTTATAAAATGGATGGTGTTATAGTTAACGGTTGAAAACAAACTAGTCCGATTAGATAGCTATCCATATCTGATTAACGTGATTTTTTACAAAAATATAATACTCGACGAGTTCTACACATTGAACGGTTTTGATTAGCAAAACGGGACCCATGGTGAGTCTCCATGGGCCAAACAACACCTTCAATTTAATACCCGAAAAACAAAGAATCATCTCCCAGCCTCTACTCAGCCGACACTGCCCCTCAATTCATCGTATAGTACAGCCTATTCCCTCCAATTTTCTCTTCTACACTAATTTATACAATTTTTTAATACATATTTTTTCGTAAAAAATCAAAAAATTATCCGAAACAACCATATTTTTTTCTCTCAAATTTTAATCTAAAAATTCAAAAAAATATATTTATTTAGGACCCCAAACAAGCCCATAGTAAAACCTTTTAGATATTACTTTGAAAATATATATGAAAAAGGAATAGCTTAAATTTCAACTGGTGCAGATAATATTAATAAAAATGGATGTAAGAGTCCCCTGTTCAGTAATTATTTTCTATCGAAACCTTCAATTATTTGGTCTATTTCAACTTTTAATTGGAAATAAGCTAAATCCATATAAAAATTACAATTTAACACTCTGTTTGGTTTAGAATTTTCAAAATCAAAAACTGTTTTTGATAGTTTTCAATTTGTATTTTTTATATTTTTAATGATTTTTTAAAAAGATTTAATTGTTTTTTATTTTTTAGATCTACTTAATATTAGTATATTTAAAAAATATAAAATTGGTATAAAAAATTTCAAAACTTCTTTGAATATAACAAAAATATAAAAAAATATTGAATTTTTGTATTTTTTCATATTTGGTGAATTTATATAAAAAAAATCACAAATATTATATTTTTGAAGTGTATTTGTATCTAAAAAATATAAAATAAAATATTTTAAAAAATACAAAAAAATTGAAAATTGAAAAAAAAAAAAAAAAAAACTCAAGTTTAAGAGAAATGAGTTAAACCAAACAAGGTGTCCATCCACTTTCAATTTCAATTGTGATAATTAATCCATCCACCAAAATTAAATAATCAACAAAAGGAAGCATAAAAAAATTTAAAATTTAAAAAAATCTTATAATTATAATACATATAAAAACGTATAATTAATTTTAATCAAGAGAAAACATGAATCCATACTCATAAAGAGTTTGTAACTTGAAATCAATTTTTATATTGCAAATCTGAGTAAAAAAACAATCAAATACAAAAAATAGTTTAAAACAATGCACACCGTATGTACATTTTATTAAGATATATCTAAAATGTATAATCAACTTGTTTGATTTTAATTTTTTGAAAACACTTTTTAGAAAATTTTATTTTCTTGTTTTTCATATTTTTTTTATTTTTACTGATTTTTTTAAATATTTTAAGCAATTTTTTTAATTTTTAGACACACTTAACATAAATATACTTGAAAAGTATAATTTTGTGAAAAAAAATCTTTAAAAAATTCAGTAAATACAAAAAATACAAAAATTCAGTAATTTTTTTGGTATTTATTAATTTTTTGAAATATTTTTTCATAAATATTTTAATTTTTAGATACATTTGTATCTAAACAAGTAAAAAAAATACTTAAAATTTTAAAAATATTTATTAAAAACAAAAACACGAAAACAAAAAATTCAATTTTCAAAAAACTTAATACAAAATTGGTTTGGATTTTTTGACTTTTTTGACTTTTATGAAAGAAAAAATCTAATAATTATGAATTGAATGTTATATTTTATCTTATTAACTTATTTAATCTATTTTATTATTTTATATTTTCTAGCCCCAAAATGATAGTCATACCAGGCTGAATATTTTTGTAAACCATACATACTGTATGTCTATTAAAAAGAAACAATAGGGTGTGAAGGATAGAAAAGACTTTGAACTACGGCTTTGAAGTACTTTCAAATGTTTTTAAAATCCCAATTGGGCAGCCCAAAGTTTGGGCCTTCTAAATTAAGATTGGGCTCTTTCTATGAGAAACTTTACATCATTTAAATTGAGGTGGGCCTATTTTTTTTTGCAACTAATTTGTGGGCTTTGCCTCAAATTCGACTTTGACTACCATCTTATTTCCGACTTTACATTTTTAATTTTTATCACCCTCATCATTAATAGTAAAAGGGAGAGGATAATATTGGAATTTGATTTAGGGGTTGTTTGGATGTCCTAAATAAGTATATTTTTTTGACTTTTTAAACTAAAGAGACTAAAATAAAATTTTGATGAAATTAAGGGGATGTTAAATGTAATATATATATATAAATTTATGGTAAATCATATCATTTTGACCTGTCGACATCGTTTAGTTTTGAGTTTTTAAAAATAATTTTTAAGTTTTTAATTCTTATTTTTTTTTTAATGAGCTTTCTAAATATTTTAATCAATATTTTTTACTTTTCAAATGGAATCACCAGGTAAGTGTATTATTATCTTAAAAAATCAATAATTGTGTCATATACTTCATACATGACCTGATTCTGTTTAAATCCACAGCATATCTTAACGAAAAATGTCGAGTGTAACAAAGTATAATTCAATGTGACTAACTATTGAGTTTTGAAATTTAAAGAAGCATAATGTGAATGAATCATAATTTAAAATGATTTACTGCAATTTATCCTAAATAAAACTATATAGACACAAACATGAATGTAATAAATAAAACTATATAGACACACAGAGATATTAGAGAGAAGATCAACTTATTAATGGCCAAAAATGACTAAAATTTGTCAAATGAATAGATCAATCCTCCGAAGAATAGAGGTGAAAACAAACAACGCTTTGAGTAAATGTTATTTTTAAGATTTTTTTCTTATGTGATGAGGAACCTTCTAAGCCAAGACTATATTGGACTTACCTCTAGAATAAATTCAAAATGCTTGTATTTAATCGCAAATTATAAGTATGGATTAAATATGAGAGACACGAGACACGAGAGCATGAGCACGTGCAGGTTATGGCGCTTTGGTTTGGATGGTCAAAGGTTTCATCGACAATAGTATAGCTGTTATTGAAACTAATGTTGATTTATTATATGATTAGGAGAAATCATGAAAGGGGTTATATTATAGGTTTCCACTCTGGAATAGAAATGCAAACAAGGTGGCACATTCTCCATTTCAGACTGTTTTGGTTCATTGATCCTCTTTTTCAAATTTCATTGTCCCAATGCACTCTCAAGTCCCAATTGCATAATTGTCTTAAAATTTCTGTACTTCAAAACTTAGGATCGATCATATAGTTGTTGATATCCGATTAATATGATTTTTAGTAGGCATGAAGTACTCAACAAACGCTACAAAATGGACGGTTTGGATCATAAAAATAAGACCATAATATACCTCAAATGGATGTACCACAGTCACTGCTGTGCCTCACGCACAGCAATGACCCCTTATCCCAAAACTTATGCCATATCGTGCAACTAAGAGAGCATTGGATGGACAGACAAATTCAAGATAGAGTAGTATATCCCTAAACCCCCGGCATGATGCTTGACAAAAACAACAAAGATACAAAAAGCTTGATCCCTCCTGCCAGCTTTTTTGACCAATGGGAAGCTTCCGTGCATGACCCCTTGTGACCCCCACTGGGGGTCTTAGGCATTTTTGTAACAAGGATGACTATGCCGGATGGAGGCTGGCTGTCACATAAAATTTATTAATATTATCGAGTACAATTCAAGAATAATAAACTAGAATTCAATGAAACCAAGGGAAAAACAAATGATTTAGGCTAATTAAAATTGAATACAACTTTGGCTAATGTACAAACTTGACACTACAGCAACCTCTACAAAAAAGATCTATTCCTCAAACAAAAGAAACCCTAAATTAGTATTAACTTCATTATAGCAAAAAGTTGTTCCTGCAGTAAAACTACATTGTCAAAAGCACTGAAAGTAAAAATTCAAGTCCATCCCTTTGTACAAATTCATCTTTTGTAAATATACTCTGGTCTTTTATACACCTGTGAATGTAAACAGATTGTATGCATAAAAAATTTAATTAGGAAAGAATTCGCAAAGCAATTTTAAAATAAAAATAAAAAACATCAGCAACCAAAAAACAATAAAGAAAAACAAAGGCTGTGTTTAAGCTTGTAAGTGCTTCCCAAACTTGTTTTATTAATAAATAAATAAATACATAAAACTTGGGGAGTTGGAACTAGCTCAAGCACGGTGAATGGGAGGGTTATGCATTCTCTCCCATAGCCAACCAAAAATAGTGAAAATAATTCAGAGTGGGCTATAGAGATGCAAAAATCTGTACATAGGAGAAGAAAGAATGCAAACGGGAACTGAATGCAAACTGAGAAACTTGATCCCAAGACCTGCACCAAAGCTGTTAGGAAATATGCATTGGTGGACCCATTTTCTAACAACTTAAGCTTTTGAGATAATTGGTGACTTAACAGTCGACACAGGTAAAAGGGTTGTGGACATAATCCCCACTCAATGCTTCAACTAGTGTTTTTAAATGAACTCTCCTATTGAAACCACATGGAACTCAAAATCCGCTCACAAAAGCGTGGCCTAATAAAAACTTAATTTTCTGGTTGGGTGTCACAGCATAGTCCAAGAGAGCCGTGAAAGATTTGTGAGATCTGATATCCATCACAGATACATAGTTCATCAAAAATTGATAGTGCCCAGCGGGTATGACTCACCTAAAACCAGCCCATCAAGCAACTTGCTGAAAAATCAGTGATCCCCACTCCATAATGTATACATTTCAGAGGATATGACGACCATAAGAAACGTACCAATTTAGCAGCTACCTAGAGAGGTGCTTCGAATGCAAATGTTTTGATGCCATGCCATGCAATTGTGTAGGTCCCACATCAGACTGATCCTGCAACAGATATGAAAACCAGTTATGACATCGACATCCATGGAAACAAAGGTCAATTGAATCCAAGCAATTATATATATTACCATGTGCTGCAAACTGTCTTGAATGTCAAAACAACTCTGAATAGTTTGTGGTCTAAAATGTAAGGGGCCCTACAAGCATGGCACAGGATATTGTTATTTAAGTGTTTCATTGAATATCATAATGCTATCAAGAATCTGAAATGTTCATTTCTTGAGATATACTGGTGCCCATAAGACAAAATGCCCAACCATAGTTGGGAAATCCATTTACTAAAAAACTAACAAAGCCTACTAGAAATGTCACAACCCAATACCAAGATTCTTAGCAAACGAGTGTTAAAATAGTGTACCAGTCCATGCAACCTCTGTTGAACAAGGTAAGGGGCATCATGAATTGGAGCTATCGAATTCAATTGTCCCTACAAGAAGAATAAAATACAACTCAAATGTTATAGCTAGACACGAAACCAAACAATTGCATTAAGACACAGTTGATCACTATAAAATGCATTACCAGCCCCTGTATGTTCTGTTGATTGCTGTAGTAATCATCACGGCTTGGAGCCATTGCATTTAGCTGTCCCTACAACAAGAACCAGAAAAGAAATTCAGATCAGATCACAGGAAAAGAAAAATTGAAGTAAAATCTATAGGTCAATAAATTAGGAGCACAAGTAGAATAACCCATACCATCCCTTGCATAATTTGTTGAGTACCAAAATAGCCATCAAGAGTTGGAACTGGAACTCTTGAGTTCAGTTGCTCCTACAACAAGCATAACACTCAGATATAGGAAAAGACCATCCAACAAATAACAATACAATCATCAGATGTAACACCACTCTTCAATACATTGAATTCCATGTTAAAAACACAACATACCATCCCTTGTATGCTCTCTTGCATTTCATAAGAACAACCAAGGGTTGGTGCTTGTAAATTTGAGTGTCCCTACAAGTAGTATGGAACCCACATCAAAGAGTACTTAACATTTTAAATCACAGTATACATCTAATTCAAGAATCCAGCGAGTACGTCAAACAGGAAATAATTTAACTAACCATTTGTTGCCAGTTGTCATGCATCCCCATGGTTATTACCTCTGTTTCTGACTGTACCTAAAACATAAATAAAAAAAGCCTAATTAAGTAAATCATAATCTCTAAAAATTTGCAACAAACTCCCAAGATAAGTATGTACCAAAAAAGTCAGCTTACCTGTCCTTTTCTGGATAAATCATTCTTTTTATTTGTCTTGCGCGTCATGTTACCATGGGTACCTTCCTCAAAGTCATGGAGGGCATGAGCTGAAGGCGAGCCAGGATCTAACACACTTTGAATGGAGTTATTCACACTCTCACACTTTTTCAAAGCCTCTTCTAGAGCATTGAATGCAATATTGTAACTCTCTTGAGATAAAGACCCTTCATCACCCAATTTAAAGGCACATCGACATAAATCGTTGTAGCGTCGAACCCTAGAGTCGACCAAATCGGACAACTGTCTCCCGATTTCTCTACTCTTTGCATCCTTTGTCCAGCGTTTCAAAATATACTGAGATGGAATGTTGTGCACACCAGACATTTGAAGAACAATCATCACATGTCTACAGAGGAAACCACTGTATTCAAACAAACGACATGAACAAGAAATATCAGACGTTGTTTCATTCTGAACCACAATAAAATCTTGATTTTCTTCAAAATCTTGAACCTTGAATGTTATGGTAGCACCATCTTCGCTTTCCTTTTTCGGATGGCAAGCAACCACTCCCAAAACCTCAACCTGGAATTTCTTGAATATAGCATGCGTGTATATGGGTGCCATTTGTTTCCCAAAAGGTGAGGGAGATTTTAATCCTGGTTGTTTATGCCATGTCTCGAAATCTGATTTTGCTTCTTCTTCACACTTGTCTTGTAAAATTGCTTTATGTTGGTCCAAAAACTCCTTCAATGTAGTTTTCCGTTGCATGTATTTATCAAAGAGTGAGTTTATACTTTCTGATCGTTGTGTTGTAGACATCCCTGCCAAGAAAACGTCTCTCATGTATGTTGGAGCCCATCGTTCACGATCTTCATACAATGATTGAAGCCAAACATCGTTTCCTAAATCAAATCTACCAACCATTTTCATCCATCTCTTTTCAAACTTCTCATCTGTTGAAGACGTAAAAATGCACTTATTAAATTTAGTAGTGAAATTTTCATGTTGCCTCAACACATAACTGAGCTTTTCTGGAATTTTGGTCAATATATGCCACAAACAAAAACAATGGCGAGCATCTGGAAAAACCTCAGCAATAGCTTCCTTCAAGGCTTTGTCTTGGTCAGTTAGTATCACTTTTGGAGCATGTCGACCCATTGCTCTAAGCCATGCCCGCATCACCCAAGCATATGTAGATTTAGTCTCATCTGCTATCAATGCACATCCAAGAAACAGGAATTGACAGTGATGGTTCACCCCGATAAAGGGAGCAAATGGCAATTTATATTCATTCTTGATATATGTAGTGTCAAAAAACACTACATCATCAAAATTTCCATAATCAAGCCTTCCTTTGGCATCAACCCAAAAAACATTTTTCAAACGCTGTTCTTCATTCAAATCTAATGCATAGAAGAAATTGGGATTCTCATCTTGCATGAACATAAAATGAGCAAGCATAGCTTGTGCATCTCCCTCTTCTAAAGCCAAAATTTGTTGACCACTATTTGAGATGCCGCTCTTTTGATTACTGATTTTCTTAACTACACCAGACTGTCTAGACATTGTCACGTACATCTTTTTATTTCTTGCCCGGATAGCATTCAAAGCATCAATATTACTATTACCTAGATCTATGTTCCTATGACCTCGAAAGTAATAGGCTTGGTCTGGAAAAATTTCATGGTTATGATCTTTTATGAAAGTACGAATAACCCATCTTCCATCCTGCCTTCTCTTAACATGCATGCAAGCCTTGCAATCTGTTTTTGACCAAGATCGATTCATTCTACCTCGTTTCCTCTTGTTAGGAATGCTTGTTGCGCTGACTGCATTTAGAACAGGTTCTGGAGTGTCAGATGTACCAGATTCTCGCTTACTTCCATATCTAGTACACACAAATTTAGCATCAATGAACTTTCCAGATATTCTTGATCGGCGACTGGCCTTTATTATGGTGGCAAACCCAACAGACTTGGCATATTCTTTATAGAATGAAAAAGCGTCCTCCTTGGATTCAAATTCCAGTCCATCATAGGGCTCTATGTTTGTATGAGAATTCACAGGCACACCATCTGAGGCATGCACTTTATGTTTACTATTTGATGTGCATCCACTCACACTTTGTCTGGTGGTTTCTTTATCACGTTTAGCATTATCACTCAGAGTAGCTCCATCTCTATTGCACACTTCACCTTGAGGATCCCCCACACTTACATTCACTAGTAACCTGTCTTCCTTATGATGTTCTCTTGATGGCTGCTCAAGGTCTATTCCCATCAAGACAACTTTTTTATTCCTGAGTTAATCTTTTACAACATACCTGAAAAAGTAGAGAGGAGGGGGAAAAGGGATGCTAACAACTCATCAATGATTGAACAAAGTAAAAACATATGAATTTACATAAAAATCAAACACTTCCAAGACTAGTTCCTAGTTCCCCACAAAAAGGGTAACACATAACAGGAAAAATGAGTAGGGATATTTATCGCACTAGCAACTTGGCATGCACAAAGTGCATATATCTCCTACCCATATGCATGTATTCACACTTATTTTATGAATAAACGAAATCATTTTTAATCTTGAACAGAGGGAGGATAAGACAAGTGAGAGAGTTGTGGGACTGAAAATGGGATTGTGACATTGTTGTTGGTTGCAATTGGCAGCTGAAAACCAATCTAGTTTGACACTTTGTCAGCAGTCGGATCTTAAGGATATGCTTTCAAATCCATCTGGGAAAAACAACATGACTACTCATTGTCTTATATATTGTATAATACTTGTCCATGTTTTATTCAATAAAAATGGTCTACCTTGAGAAAATGCCAAGTCATAATCCACTTTATATCCAGTAAAACAAAAGAAATTAACCGCGCTACCAAGATCATAAAACTGACTATAAAAACAAGCATCAGTACAGAACACCCACATGAAATTAGGGTCCTAAACGAGTTGAGTGGTAACTTGTTCAAACTTAGTTTGAAAACCTAACAAGATTCAAAATGTGTTTAAGCTTGGTTTGTTCAGCTGTTGAGTTGATCTTAAACAAGCTTTAATAAAGCCGATCACAAGCCAAGCCCAAGTAACCTGCATATAATTGGGTGTTTAGTTGACTTACCAGTTAAAAAAATCACATCTTTTTTTCGAATTATTTTTGTCTTTTGGCTTTTTTTCAAAATTATGTTTTTTTTTTCTAGTCTGTCTTACGTAGACAAATCTAAAAAAATATAAAAAATAAAAAAAAAATCCAAAATCCAAAATAAAAAATGAGAAAACCAAAATTAGCTAAAACAAGTCCACTGTTTTTTGCTTTTTTGCTTTTTTTTTTTTTATCTTTTCTGAACTTTTTTTGGAATTTAAAAAAAAAAATTAGGACTTTTTTGTTTTTGGGAAGGTTGTTTTTGAAATTTTTTTTCAAAATTTTGTTTGGTTTGTGATTTTTCTCAAAAAATTTACACAATCACTTTTTCTCTCTCCATTCTCCTTCTCAATCACTTTTTCTCTCACACACATATACTCAATTACAATAAAATATCAAGTCATTCCAAACTCCAAAACTACTTTCAAAATATACAAGACAAACCAAAAAAATTTCTAAACTCTCTCCCAATTTTTTTTTTTCAAATACAACTCTTCCAAAAACAAACTAAACAAGCCCAATATATTTATAATAGTAGAGAGGTATAGGCCTTTTTTTTATTAACTCTCAAAATACAATTTTTGAAAAAAAATTTCAAAATTTTGTTTGGTTAGAAATTTTTTGAATTTTTTTTCCAAAATCACTCTCTTTTCTACACATCAATCAATCAATTTTTCTTTTACACACATCTATTCAACTACAACAAAATATCAAATTGTCCCAAACTCTCATTATCCCAAACTCTCATACTCCAAAACTATTTCCAAAATATACAATCAAACTAACCAAAAAAATTTATAAACTCTTTTCCCAAGGTTTTTTTCGAAAATTTATTTCCCAAAACCAAACCAAACACACCCTTAATTTTCCAAATCGATTTGTCTCGTTGAGTTGAGCTAAGTAGCAAGTTGTTTGGTTTAAAATCTTAGCAAATTTTAAATGTGTTTAAATTTGAATAGTTTACCTAACAAGCTAATCTCAAAACCAGTTCAAAAGTAACTTATAAACCAACTATGACACCTAAAAAAAAACACAAAATCAAAGTTCAAAAATTGCGAAACATGTTCAAATAAACCCAATATATGATCATTTTGCTCTAAGAAGACAGAATATGCAGATAAAAACATGAAAACAAGAAATAAATCTTAGAATTTGAATTCAAACACTTCACTAAATTGTTTATATACACATTCATGAGAGAGAAAAAGAGAGATTGATAATTACGAGATTGAAGATCGATCGCTGTCGTCCGTAACAGAGAGACAGAGAGAGAGGAGTGGGAGTGAGAGTATTGGGGGCGAGTATGCCACTCTTCGTTTCCCAAATTCGATGGTTAGGGCATCACACTGCGAAGCCGTACTCGCACCTCGTGTTTTCTCACTCGCTGGTACTCGCAGGTACTATTATGGGCTTGTTAAATGGGCCGATTGTAAGTTTTAGAGCTGGGCTTTGTTGTGTAATGTTTTGTGTAGAAGTATTTAAACAAAATTTTGAGAAATTACGGGTTGGATTTAGGCTTTGTTTGTCAATTATATATTTTAGTTAAAAAAAATAAAAAGTTATTATAAATTTTCGCATCATTCTCTTTAATTTTTTACATATATTTTCGTAAAAAATTAAAAAATATTAAAATAACATATTTTCAAACAAGACCTTAATACCAAATAAGTCATGCTTCAAATTAATAGACTCACGTTTCTAACTTTATCCCCACAACCCAACAATTATGAACTCATCAATTTTCACAACAAACTTATCATTTTTTTTAATGATTCTCAACCGCGAAACACACAATTTTCAATAGTAATATGTCCATAAAAATCTCACTCGGGATTTATTAAGTAATAACTCCAACCAATAGCGGCAGTTGGTGGTTTTGCCCAAAATTTATATAGTTTTTGAAATAGGAATTGGGGTTACTGCTGTGCCTTTGGCACAGCAGTAACTGTTGTGCCTCATTTTGAGGTGCATTATGGGCTTATTTTTATGATCTTAACCATTCATTTTGTAAGATTTGTTGAGTACTTCATACCTACCAAAAATCATATTAATCGGATATCAATAACTATATGATCGAATTGTATATTTTTATTCTATTTTTCAAAAGAAAAACTTCTTGTTTATTTTTTTGGTTATCAATCATATAGTTATTGATATGCGATTAATATGATTTTTTGGTAGACATGAAGTACTCAACAAATCTTACAACATAAACGGTTCGGATTATAAAAATAGATCCATAATGCACTTCAAAATGAGGCACAACTATCACTGCTGTGCCAAAAGCACAACAGTGACCCCAATTCCTTTGAAGTCCTAGTTGGATAATTAACGCTCATAAATAAGTTTTTTTTATGAATAAATTATACTTTATACTTTACAATTTATATTAAATTTTACTTTGATCTCTTATATTTTTATTGTAACAGTCAAAGTCTTGGAGTGGTCAGTGGTAGATTTAGGGGGGAAAAAAAAAATTATATTTTTGTCCCAACAAGAACACATGTCATAACATTCATCACTCACCAGTTATCATGATCAATGAGTGTTCATTCCAAGCATTTTCAAATCTCATTTGAGACAAAAAAAAAAAAAAAAAAAAAAAAAAAACACATGAGATTTTAGTTTATTAGATCATTGGACACATTAGCACAACTTCTATAGACACCCCAACTAGAAATGGGGAACATGTTTAGCTGGTGTAGGGTACATTACTAACATTACCTTCAAATATAAATCACTGTCTAATTTAGAATACTTAAATCAATTGGCCTCAAATTCCTTGATCATTTTAACTTATATACTATAATTGAAGCATCAAATTTGACACCTCCTTAATTGAAGCTGTGTACAAAAGCCAACTTTGCAACACAAAGACAAAAAAAGTCACATAATAATAGACAAGGGTGAGGTCATATACTTTTTGTATAAATAGAAATAAAAATAAATAAAAATTTATACAAAATAATGTGTGTGTGATATTTTTTAAAAGAGCAATGCTAGGAACTCTATGTGAGTCCCCCTCATATGAGTTTATGATAAAATTTTTGATAGACGATTTAAGGTCTTTAGAATTTTTGTTTTTAAAACAAACACAAATGAGTACCTCTAAAACATTGCCTAATATCTGGATTAGAGTGAGAGTGTCTTCAAAATATCTGAAATTTTTTTAAAAATATATATATATATATTTATATTGATCTCAATAAAATGTATTGAATTCATTGAAATTGAATTTATTTAATAAGAAATGTCTAAGTATTTTTTTCCTAATTTGTCTTTTTCTTATGCCATGTAGTCACATCATTATGTATATAATTTCGGTAGATAAAGTTATGTTTATCTATGATTACTTAAATCCATTGAGTCCATTGTCCATTGAACATGGTTGGAGGCTAATGTGCATGTATAGGAGGATTATAATGACTTAATTAAACCTTACAATAGTGAGATTGTTGTAAATAGACAACACGTGGCTTCTTTAACTGATTAATTACATTTAACTTAACAAAAAAATTTGGAAGCTTGAGTAAAATAATATACTTAATTAAAATAATTAAGCCTTGATTGATTCAGTCATAGTATCTGATGAGCATGCACCACTTTTTTATGAGCAATAGTGTACAAAAATGCATGTATTTGCGAGTTTGTATAGTTTCCAAACCCATCATTACTTTTCATTTTTTGAGCTCTGTACCGCACAATTTTAGGTACATGAACACATTATAACTGTTCGAATTATGATTTTTTATAAATTTATTTTGAGTTATTTTTTAACCCAAATTTAAGTGGAGCCCATACGTCTTTTGAGATAGATCCAAAGAGGTGACGTGTTTTTTGCAGCATGGCAAGTCACACAGTACAAACGATTTGTTAAAACCATTTATGAGTGAATGGGAACTTGACGTCGTTTTTGGGTTTGAGAAAAGGGAAGTTGAAGAGGTAAATGTGGGTTTCCTTTATATGGTTGTCCCACATTGAAAACTTAAAAGAACTTATGTGTATCTGTGCGGGAAAGAAATAAATCTTCTCGTATAATCCTGTTGATCAAGTCTGCGCTCCTCTGTACGACGTCGCTTTATCACCTGAAAACACAAACGTGAGCTACCCGGCAGGTGTGTGCCGGAAACCTCTTCGATGCCTAAGTCAGCAAGCTTGACAAGTAGACAAAGCTCTGTGTATTCAGAAAACAAAGTTGTGTGTTACCTCTCCAAAGGTGATGTTTGTGAGCTTTTATAGGTTTCGTGTGGCACAATCCTAGTAGGACTTCTACTCCTCCATGCAGAGTCCTCCTAGGATTCATACTCCTGAGGGATAATGCTTATCCTTTAACACTCCCCTCACTGCTTAAACCAAGTGAGATAGTTTTTACCATGGCCGAACTCCAACATGACCGAAGTAATCATGGCTATGCTGAGCCGCAGAGTAGGCCGAACTATCCTTAGTTCGGGTCTTCCTTTTACTCCTCCTGATCTCGGTGCTCTCATGTACAAATCATGGTGTGTTTAGACCGAGCTACCGAATAGCAAGGTTCTGACCGTTCTATCCACAATACGCCATGACCAAACTAACTCTGAGACTGGCCTAACTCCAAGTCACTTCCGGGCCGGAGTAACTTTACATTTCCCTCGGGCCGAAGTAATTTTGTACCTCTCTTGGGCCGGAGTAACTTTGCGGCCTTTTTACTCAGCCCTTCGTATTGGGCCATAATGACAATCTCCCAGATCGGCCCAATTTTCACAAAAATTACCCTCTCAGTATCTATAAGTTCTGGGTGGCAATACTTTGGCTGGGCCCCAAGAGGCACCGCAAGAGATGGGTTATGGACAATGTAAACCTTGTCTCAAACCACCACACGTGTGCCGCCGTCCGGGTGTGGGTTGTAGGTTGGATCGGTCCTATTATTTAATTTTTGAACAAAAATTATTTGAATTTCTAAACGAAATTAATTTAAATTTTGCACCAAATTTTCCTATCCAAACAGTGCCCTTTCTAGTCATTTTCCAGCATATTCAAAACAGTTTGTTTCAAACTGTGTTAACAGAACTACACCGGACAGATTCAAACCTGTTTCAACAGGTTCAATTCAAATTTGTACCTATTCAATTTGAAATCAGATCTGTTCATTTCAAATAGTACCTGTTCAGCCATTCCAAATGGCCTCCAATCTGCCTATAAATACCAAGACATTTCTAGCAGTTTGAACATCCAAAATTTTCTTATTTCCTTCAATTTTTTGCTCTCTTGCATACATATATTCTTCATACTAGTTTTAGAGAAAATTCTAAGAGTATAGAACACAAGTTCTAGTTCGTTATATAGATTGTTTGGAGTGCTACTACAATTTGTGTAAAGATCATTGTATCGTTGGAGATAAATGTCATTTATCCGTAAGTATCGAAGCAGGGCGAATCTGTCTTAAGGACAGAGTGTCACACAGACGACTTGATCAATTTGGTACTTATTCGTTTTGGTAAATAAATTCTGTAAGTAATTTATTTTTATTTGTTTAATTTGGTTTCAAATTATTTATTTTACACAAAAGATTATTCCAACAATCTTAAGACAGACTCGAATTATTCTATTTATACAGAATTTTTCATTTGTTTCTCTTTCTTCCTTTCTTTTTCTTACAGAAATTATTTTCTCTGATTTAACAAAATAATATTCTGGTTGGAAAATACAAATAGTAGTAATATACTGTTTATTTTCTTTGACAACTAGTAGTAATATACTGGCAGTCATTAACAATTTCAGAATATTCATTTGAAAAGTTGGTCAAAAATTAATTTTAGTTTTCAGAAATAATTTCTAAGTTTTCATTAATTAAAATTCTGTTTTCAGTATTTTAATTTTTAAAGTGTTACAGAAATGTTTTTCTGTCTGGACTTAATTTGCTTAAATAAATTTTATTTTCAAATCAATTGGAAATAAAAGTTAAAATTCTTGTATCTTTTATTTTTACAGAATTTAGATTCTGTGATTATGGTTTAATTTTTTGTGTAATATAAAATTCTAATTCTAATTTTGTTTCATAATTTAGAATTCATGGCTACATAAACTAATGCTCAAACAAATACTAGTATGGTGACTGCAATTGCTTCAATTCCTCCTCTTGCTGTGACTGTGCCAGTCAATCATGATGAAAAGCTAGAGAAGTTCTTAGGAACTGATTTTAAAAGATGGTAGTAGAAAATGTTGTTTTATCTGACTACTCTCAACCTGGGGCGTTTTCTCCGTGAAAATGCTCCTAGTCTGAATGAGGATGAAACCGGCCGACAAGTTGTTATTGCGGTCGATACTTGGAAACATGCTGATTTCCTTTGCCGGAACTACATTTTGAACGAGCTTGATAACACATTGTACAACGTCTACAGTCTTATCAAGACGGA